ATGTGACATACAGATTGGGTTCGCTGATTGTGTACGCAAGAGTTATGTGGTATTTAAAACTTTTTTCCATCTTGATATTTCCATGCTAAATGCATATAACATATACAAGTTGAGGACCAACAACAAACCAAAATATGGCGAGTTTTGTTTGTCAGTCATCAGACAAATGATCGTCATGTACCAAGGAGCAACACCTGCAATAGACCAGCGCCCACGAAATTACCAACACATGCCATCTTGTTTGAGGCCCGGTGATCACTACCCCATACAACTGCCTCCTACTGCTTTCAAGAAAAGTGCTCAGAAGAGGTGTTTTGTATGTGGACACACCACAAAACGCCCACAAACACGCAGAGACACTCGTTTTATGTGTGAGGAGTGTCAAGTACCACTGTGCATATACCCATGTTTCAAAGAGTTCCACAAGCTGCAGCAGTTCTAGGAAAGTGTTCAGCGTCTGTACATATGTGTATATATTTATTTATTTATTTATTTAGTAATTTTAGCATACATACAGAGGTACAAAAAAATACAGGTAAGAGCAGCATGCCAAAGCCACTTACATGCATAGCATTACGGGCTGGCTTAAAATTAACTTAAGATTAACTAAGCAATGATGAAATCAGTGATAAGACATTATTGTAAACAGATAACTATAAAGCACAAATGAGTATTACAAAGACAGGTCATATGGGTGCATGCATTGCTGTACATTCAGTAGAATGGAGTAGTGGATTGAAGTAGTGTATTTAAAAAATAACAAAGTTAGATTGGGTCCTAGGTTTAACATTTATGTGATATAATTGTGAGAAACATTTAGGATATACAATTTATAAGGTTCAGTTTTCAGTATTTATTTGGTTTTGGGTGAGTAAGTGATCTTTGAGAAGAGCCTTGAATTTATAAACAGGTAGTGTTTCTTTTATATTTACAGGTAATGAATTCCAGATTTTAGGGCCTTTTATGTGCATTGAGTTTTTGCATAGCGTGAGATGGACACGAGGAACATCAAAGAGTGATCTGTGCCTTGTGTTATGGTCATGTGTTCTGTTGAGGTTGGCAAGGAGATGTTTGAGGGGAGGGTTAATATCAGGGTTAAGTGTTCTATGTATGTAATAGGTGCAATAATAAGTATGGATGTTTTGTAGGGTGAGTAGGTTGAGTGTTTTGAATATTGGTGGAGTGTGCTGCCTGTAGTGAGAATTTGTTATCATTCTAACTGCAGCCTTTTGTTGGGTAATAGTGGTCTGAGATGGTTAATTGTTGTTGAGCCCCATGCACAAATTCCATAGGTGAGATAGGGGTAAATAAGAGAGTGATAAAGGGCCAGGAGGGCTGACTGTGGAGCATAGTACCGTATCTTCGATAGTATGCCTACAGTCTTGGAAATTTTCTTAGAAATTTGTTGTATATGTGTATGAAATTTGAGTCTATTATCAAGGTGGATTCCTAAGAATTTTCCCTCTGTTAGCTTTGTGATAGGTGATCCGTTTATTGTTATGTTAAGAGGGACATCTGTAGCTCTGTTACCAAACTGAATGAAGTAGGTTTTGTCAATGTTTAGTGTAAGTTTGTTAGTCCTCATCCAGGTAGATATTTTCTGTAATTCGGTATTTACAGTATTGGCTAGCGTGACTGGGCTCGGGTGAGAGAAGACGTATGTAGTGTCATCTGCAAAAAGTGTGGGTTTGAGTAATTGCGAAGCATTTGGTAGGTCATTTATGTAAACGAGAAAGAGAAGAGGGCCAAGGACACTTCCCTGTGGGACACCAACTGTAATTGGTTGTGCGGAAGAGCTTGCCCCATTTGCGTACACATATTGGCTTCTGTTGCTGAGGTATGACTTGAGGTAGTTGAGGGAGTGCCCTCTTATACCATAGTGTGACAATTTTACGTGGAGCAAGTCATGGTCAGCTATATCAAAAGCTTTACGTAAGTCAATGAAGATCCCCAGTGGGACTTCTTTTTTCTCTATTGCAGTGTATATATGTTCTAGCATGTGTATAATAGCATCATTAGTATTTTTATTAGGCCTGAATCCAAATTGGCAGGGGTTGAGTATGTTTTGGGAGATGAGGTAGGAGTAGATTCGTTTATGAATTAATTTTTCAAAGATTTTTGAGAGAGGGTGTAAATTGGATATTGGCCTATAGTTATTCAACTCTGTTTGGTCTCCTCCTTTATGGATCAGGGTGACCCTTGCTATTTTGAGAACTGTAGGGAAGGTGGAGGATTCAATGGATTTGTTAAAGAGTGTTGCAATGATTGGTGATAGTACTTGTGACACTTTTTTGTATATAAAGGGTGGTAAGGTATTTAAATCTCCTGCCTTGTTTTTTAGTGCGTTGATAATAAGGGAGACTTCGTATGGGTTAGTCGGAGCTAGGAACAGTGTGTTCGGGTAGTTGCCAGTGAGGTAGTCATTTGGTGGGGTATCTGAGCTTGGGATTTTATTGGCAAGGTTTTGTCCTATAGTGGAGAAGAAATCATTGAGTCTGTTTGCTGTTTCTGTTGGTGGGAGTTGGGGTTATCTGATTTTGCTAATTTTATTTCGCTATTTTGTAATATCTTTTTTGTTCCCAGAATTTCTGATAGGGTCTTCCAGGTCTTTTTTATATCACCTTGTAAGTTGGATAATCTGTTCTCATAATACAATTTTTTTTGCCCTTCTTATCAGGTGGTTAGGATTGACGAGTAACGTTTTGTTTGGTCTCTGGTTATGTGACCCATTCTGTACTGTTTTTCATATCGGTGTTTTGTATTTATGGATTTGAGAATGCTGGGTGTTAGCCAGGGACTGTTCAGTCTCTTAGCTGTCATCTGTTTAGTTTTTTTAGGGCAGTGCTTGTTATAGAGGTATTGGGTCTTTTTTAGAAAATTATTAAAACATTCGTCAATATCTGTATAGATTTCTAGCTCAGGGTTGCCAGTCAATGTTTGTTACTGCTGTTGTGAAGTTATTAATGGCTGCTCATTGTGAAGTCTGAAGGTGACTTTAGTAGTGTCTTGGGGTAATTTACAAGAGTTGTTATGAGGAAAGTAGGGTAGGTGGTCTGTGGTATTATCTGTAATTATGCCTGATTTTAAAGGGGATATGGTGTTGGTCCAGATTTTGGGTCAAGTAGGGAAAACACTAGTCTCCGTAACTCTTGTAGGTTTTGTTACTGTTGGTAGCAACATGCAGTTACTCATTGTGTTTGTGAATTCAGTAACGTGTGGGTCCTGGTCTTGCAAGAGATTTATATTGAAGTCACCTGAGAGTAGTAAGTGATCTTTGTTCATGTGTGCATCAGTTATCATACTTCCTAGGTTTTGACTAAATTGGCTAATGTTTGATTGTGGAACTCTGTAGATGTTTACCACTGTGAGAGGTTTTTGTAGGTATTTGGATTTGAATTTAGCTATTATATATTCCCCATGTTCATCCCTTGTGCAAGTATTAGTGATACATTCTAGTTGGTCTGAGTAGTATATAGCTGTGCCACCCCATTGTTGGTCTGGCCTACAGTTGTGTATGGCTGTGTAACCAGGAATGGCATAGATATCTGTAGTATCAGGCTTTAGCCAGTAATAAATAGTGTTTTGTATTGTTTGTGTAAACAAGTTTTATACACAATCTAATAGTGATAATGTTTCAGTTATTGTGTTGTAAACAATGAGTGTATATTTGAACAATGCACCTTACTTTGGTCTCACAGGACACATAAGTTACTTAGAAAAGAAAAATATTGGAAAATACAAGAAACCTTCGAATACCGGGTGGGCGGCATTTGCCGCTGTTACCATATGCCGCTCATTTTCTGCCAACTTTGCACCTCTATATCTCAAAGGGTTAAGGACCCCAATGGAAATAAGTTAGACAGTCCTCAATGACGCACTGACTTTCTTGGGTTATCCTGGGTAGCTAACCCTCTGGGGTTAATTGTTTCTCGGTACATGTAATTGTTTCTCGTTAAGCCACACCAACAACAGTCTCTCCACATCTTTGAGTAGTACAGCTGATGGTGGTGCAGCAGCAGCTGACGGTGGTGCAGCAGCAGCTGACGGTGGTGCAGCAGCAGCTGACGGTGGTGCAGCAACAGCTGACGGTGGTGCAACAACAGCTGACTGTGGTACGATAGTATTTCAATAGTATTTCTCACCCTTTTTACCACAGGGTTGGCACTAGAAGCTTTCTTTGGGCCCATGGTGGCTTATTTAGCAGTTGCAAGCACTAAAAACAATGGAATAATACAAAATGTATCAAATGTATGCTTGGAACCATCTGCCCTGGCTTATAAACAGTGGCACACTAGCTGAAGGCAGGGCAGCTGAGGCGCTCAGGCCGGACGGACAGGCGGACGTGTTCAGGACGAATGTCCCTAACCGAGTTTTTCATCATTGGCTGAGCCAATATTTTTATGCAAAGATACATCAATATCTGATTTTATCGCTAGCCGATGTCATCGTTACCCGAGGGTCCACTGTATATATAAAATATGAAATAACTTTTAGAAACGCTTGAAATTTTGGAAAGTTTTCAGACATAATGGAGAGATGCGGTGCTCACAGAACTCACAGAAAATGTAAGCAACCTGGGTGGAGCATGGTGACCATATTAGAAATTCAGGTGGGGGGAGCTGTATAGCGAGTTTTGGTCATAATTTGAAATGTTCGTATTAGCGGAACGCTGTAAAGCAAACGCTGTAAAGCATGGCCTTACTGTATTTGATTGATGGTGTGATGTAATGCGTGAACCAGACAGATATGACAAGCCAATGACAATAATGGTATATGTACAGAGTTCTGTAAATTGCTTAATATGAGCTTAAAACAAACATTGCCTTTTGTACAAAATTTAAACTTGGGCCTACATACTTTGATTACCAACTGAATGCATTAACCATTCCATCATTAAATCCATCACCATTTTCATAAGGTACTTGTACATGAGCCATTCCATAGTTAAATCTATCACCATTTCCACAAGGAGCTTACTCAGTATTTTTTTTTTTTTTCAGTTGGCAACATGGAGGAAGGTCTCCTTTCATTAAAGTGGAACAACCACAAATCTACATTCTTCCATGTCCTTTCCATTCTACGAGAGAAGGTAAGTGCTGTTGTACTCGATACTAATTTTGTGAATTAGGGATCGCAAGGGCCACATGATATGTAAAGATAAATGTAATGGTGAAAATGTGGCACATTTTTAGTTTTCTATTGTAGTTCAGTTGTCACATTAATTGTGTATATTTTATTTCCTCATAATTTCAGAATTTGTGTACACTTAAGTTTTTCTAATTTTCCAGTGAAAACACATGGAAATTTTAATATTGTGTTGCATGCTAATTATGTTTGAAAATATTAATGTAATGTCATAAAGACAAAATACTGGGTACAAAATAAATACATTAGACTGTCATTTAACACTGTAGTTATGCTCCTGAAAACACCATGTTAAGCAAAACCGTGTTAGACAAACTTTAGAACTTATGGGAAAAATGGGGTTATGTTCCTGGCAGCCCCCAAAAACCAAACAACTTTTTTTTTTTTAGACCAATAGATCTTGCAAAAATAAAAGTGAATATGTAATTGTAGTTCATTGTCGTTACGTATTATGTTGTTTTTACTGCATAAAGCTACAAATGCAACAGAAATAATAGTATTTCTTACCTTAAATTGTGGGTGCTGGTATTTATGGATGATTGTGAAGAGAGTGGAGAGTTACGTTGTGGCCCTTCTGGGCTGAGGTGGATGGTAGAGGTACTGGTACTGAAGTTGATGGTTGTACTGGAGTGTGCATAAATTTGTAAGGGATTTCTTTTCTGTTTTACCCTACAGTACATTATACAATTGACGGTAAGGCATCAGCTGCTCTAGACACCATTTGAGGGTCCATTTCTGTGAAAAAGTCTAACTTTAAGTGATTCAGTAAGTCAGTCAAGTCATTCTGTCAATCAGTCAAGTCAGTGTGTTATTCAGTCAAGTCAGTCAGTTATTCAGTCAGTTAAGTCAGTCAGTCATCACAAACTCGTATTTACCTCATTCTTTTTGTGTACAAAATGACACTTCATTCCTGCTACAGGCTGTCTCTTGTCTAATACAGTAGTACCTCAGGATACAGAATTAATTCGTTACAGAAGAGTGTTCAGGTGCTGATACTGAACAAATTTGTTCCCATAAGGAATAATATAAATTAGATTAATCCGTTTCAGACCCCCAAAAATACACTTACAAAAGCACTTACAAAAATACACTCAGGTAATGGTTCAGGTTGGGAGCTGTTCGTATCTCGAGGTACCGCTGTACAGTGGACCCTCAGCTAACGATATTAATCCGTTCCTGAAAGCTCCTCATATGCAGAAATTATCGTTAGCTGAATTAATTTTCCCCGTAAGAAATAATGGAAATCAAATTAATCCGTGCAAGACACCCCAAAGTATGAAAAAAAAAAATTTTTTACCACATGAAATATTAATTTTAATACATACAAACTGACACTTACCTTTATTGAAGATCTGGTGATGATTGATGGGATGGGAGGAGGGGAGAGTGTGGAAGTTAATGTTTAGAAGGGGAATCTCCTTCCATTAGGACTTGAGGTATCAAGTCCTTTTCCGGGGTTACTTCCCTTCTTCTTTTAATGCCACTAGGACCAGCTTGAGAGTCACTGGACCTCTGTCGCACAACATATCTGTCCATAGAGTCCTGTACCTCCTGTTCCTTTGTGATTTGTCTAAAGTGGTTCACAACATTGTCATTGTAATAGTCACCAGCATGGCTTGCAATATCTATGTGAGGGTGATTTTCATTCATAAAGGTTTTCACTTCAAGCCACTTTGCACACATTTCCTTATCTCTTTCTTCATATCCATAGTAATTTTCACCCTTTTTTCTGCAAGGTTGGCGCTAGAAGCTTTCTTGGGCCCCATAGTGACTTATTTTGCAGGTACAATCACTAAAAACGCTATGATATTATGAAATGTTCTGAGTGTATGTGTGGATGCGACCGCACTGGCTGGCTTGTAAACACTGGCACCCACGGGACAACTGAGGCGCGCTCAGGCCACACGTGCATGCGTCTCGAACGAATCGCGTAGGGTGAGTTTTTTAGCGTTAGCTGAGGCAAAATTTTTGCGTTAAAATGTATCGTATGCTGGATTTAACGTAAGGTGATGGCATCGTTAGCTGAGGGTCCACTGTATATCTATTTTCTTCGTTAATTCTAAGACTTAAATGCTTAAACCTTTTCTTGCAACTTTCAGCAACATTTGTATGCCTACTGGGTGCCATGATTGCTTGGCAGATTTGAGATATGACAATTAATACGTATCTAAACAAACAGCAAGCCACTGGAACAGGTTCGTCCAACACACGTATGAACTGAACTGAAGGCTGAGAGGGTGGTGGGGGTGGCTGATGCCCATTGTAAGTCCAAGGCGTTGGTAAACAAGTACGTTACTTAGTGAAGAGAGGCTGTATACTAAAAAGTTATAAATGGTGCTAGGGTGACATTAAAGCAGTGTCAAAGATGGTTGACATAAACCCACTACCATTACAGTATAGTATGCTCCTCATTTAGTGACAAATTCGTTCATTGATGCGATATTAGGAATGGAACTCCGTCGTTAAGTTAGGAGTGGCTGTGCTGAAATAAACAGAATAGAGGAAATCAGCTCTAATATACATTTAGGTATAAATACTAGTCAGAAAGCCCGTGGTAAGTCCGAGGTGTCGGTAAATGAGTACGTTGCTGAGTGAGGAGAGGCTGTATTATACTATAATGATTTTCAAAGGCAAGCAGATGTTATGGGCACATTAAAGCATGTTATTATAGTTCAGTAGAGGATGATTTAACCATGAAAATCAAGCAGTGTGAATACGCTTGCCTTAAATTCTGGTACAGTTGACCGTATGTTTTCGTGAATTTTGGTTATCGGCAACTTTTTTCGTCAAAACAACCTTGGTTTTTGTGATTTCCCTTGGATTTCGGCAGTAGTATGGTATGTGTCCCAGTGGCCCTGCGCACACAAAGCTTCCCACAGACGCATTCAAGAGTCGGCTTGGCATTATTTCTCATCGAGTGAGCATCACCCCTCTCGTTTATATGAAACATATAATAATCCATTGTTTTTTGTGTTTGCAACTGCTAAATAAGCCACCATGGGCCCAAAGAAAGCTTCTAGTGCCAGCCCTTTGGTAAAGAAGGTGAGAAACATGATAGAATTAAAGAAAGAAATCATAGATAAACATGAAAGTGGCGTACGTGTGGCCGAGCTTGCCAGGATTTACGGGAAGCCCCATTCAACGATCACTTCCATCGTGGGGAAGAAAAAGGAAATCAAGGAAGCTGATGTTGCAAAAGGGGTAAATGTGCTAACGAAACAGAGATAAATAGCAAAAAGGCACAATACCGTGACTGGAACGATACACAAATAACCCGCACATAAAAGAGAGAAGCTTACGACCAACAACAGTTAGCAGGAGATAGTGTCGTGCAGTCAATAATTTGTGAAAAAGCAAGGCAGTTTCATGCTGATCTTGTAAAGAAAATGCTTGGAACGAGTGCTGATGTTAGTGAATTAAAGGCCAGCATAGGCTGGTTCGAAAATTTCAAGAAGCGAAGTGGCATACACAGTGTTGTAAGGCAAGTTCAGACAAACATGAGGCTGAAAAATTTGTGTGTGAATTTGAGGAGTATGTAGGAGGAAAAGAGACTGCCAGGACACAAGTCTATGAAAGACAGGCTAACTCTCTTGTTCTGTGGTAATGCTAGTGGAAATTTCAAAGTGAAGCCTTTACTGGTGTATCACTGAAAATCCCAGAGTGTTCAATAAAAAGTGTCGTCAAGAGTAAATTGTGTGTGATGTGAAAGGCTAACAATGAGGCAAATTTTCCTTGATTGGTTCAATGAAGTGTTTGGCCCGAGCGTGAAGAAATACTTCCTGGATAATAAATTGCAGTGCCTCCTGGCAATGGACAATGCTCCTGCTCATCCTCCAGATGACCAATTGTTGGAGGAGTTTAGTTTCGTCACAGTGAAGTTGTTGCCTCCTAATACCACGCCTCTCATCCAGCCCATGGACCAGCAGATCATTTCAAAAAACTACACCAGAGCAATGTTTCAAAGGTGCTTTGACATGACCTCGGACACTGAATTGACCCTAAGAGAGTTCTGGAAGGATCATTTCAGTATCCTCAATTGCATAACCCTTATGGATAAGGTTTGGCAGGGAGTGACTTCCAGGACAATGAACTCTGCTTGGAGAAAATTGTGGCCAGAATGTGTCCAAGAGAAGGATTTTGAAAGGTTTGGGGCTGACCCTGTCAACCCTATGCCTGTTGTGGAATGTATTGTGGCATTGGGGAATTCCATGGGGTTGGATGTGAGTGGCCAGGATGTGGAAGTTGGTGGAGGACCACAGTGAAGAGCTGCAAGAGCTTCATCTGCAACAGCAACAGACCACGGCAGAGGAAATTGCTTTACAGGAGGAGGAAGAGAGGGGAAGAAGGTGCCTTCTTCAAAGATTAAGGACATTTATGCAAAGTGGAGTGAGGTGCAAATGTTTGTGGAGGAGCATAACCCTAACTAAGCTGTTGTAGGCTGTGTCTGCGACATGGTTCAATGACAGTGTCTTGTCCCATTTTGGGCAACTCTTAGAGGCGCCAGAAACAGAGCTCTCTGGACCAATTTTTTGTGACAGGGGTTCAGTGACTCACAAGCTGGTTCTAGTGGCAGTAAAAGACAAAGAAGGGAAGTGACCCCAGATAAGGACTTGGTACCTAGATTACTTATGGAGGGGGATTCCCCTTCCAAAGAATAACCTCTTTTCCCTCTCCCTTCCTCCCTGTCTTCTATACACTAAGTCTTCAATAAAGGTAAGTGTCGTGTTGAATGTTCATTCTTTTCTGCATGTAAATCTATACTTAACCTAAAAAAAAAAATTTTTGTTTGTTAACACTTTTGGGTGTCTGGAATGGATTAATTGGATTTACATTATTTCTTATGGGGAAAATAGTTTGTTTTCTCTGATCTCTCTGGAACAGATTAATGACGAAAACCGAGGGTCCACTGTATTTAATCTCTAAAAAAAAATTTTTTTTTTATTA